CACCACCAGCCGGCCAGTATACTCGACCAGCACAACCACAACAGGCACAAGCCCCTCCACAGAACTTTACCACTGCTGACTTTCAAGTGAGAACCTTTATATTTGCACTACAAAATCCAGGGCTGCTACATAAACTAATATAATCCACAATTTTGTACTTACAACTTTATACTGGCTTACACCCATAACTCCATCCATACAAAATTAGAAAAAAACAAACATATTACCTATGTATTCTTCCAGACTATCCACTACATCTATGCCAAATTTCATTGAGATCCAAGTAGCAGTTTAAGCTCCAAACTCTAACAAACATAATAAACATAATAAGATTTTTTTAATTAATTTGATAAATAATAATAATAATCTCAGTCTAATCCATAAAAATTACACATTTTCCTTCCTGACTTTGCTTCAATATAAAACAACAAATTTAATAATAATTGAATATGTTTGAAAAACTCTAGCAATACCTTTAGTTTTGTTTTATCATAAATATTAAAACTATGTATGACTAGCTTTCGCCCGCGATTTCGTCCGCGTGAAATATAAAAAAACAACAGTAAATAGCCTATGTGTTCTTCCAGACTATCTTCTACATCAATGCCAAATTTCATCGAGACCCATTCAGCAGTTTAGGCTACAAACTAACAAACCATCCATCCAAACTTTCGCATTTATAATATTAGTAAGATATTAAAATCACTGTAAATATTCCGCATGTTTCACTTTATAGATGTCAAATATAACAATAATTTAATAATACTGCCATTAACCTAGTCTGACTTGACTTTTCAATTAATACCTGATTTAAGCGTGGTACTGCTCAAAATCATCAGTCATACAACTGGCATTATGTAAACAATCATCATTACCAGCGCACTAGAAATCCCCACTGAGCGGCTCGGTGCCTACCCTAATTAGGGGTGTCTAGGCCATAGTCAACCTAGCTGGCAAACTGTGGGTTGGTTGACCAGAGCTTACCATAATAAAGATTCAGTAGGCCATAGTCAACCACGCTGGCCCAGTGCAGGTTGACTTCACACATATCTTTGAATTTCTTCCCTGTTATGTGCAAGCACCACAATGTTTTCCTTCATCGTAAGAACGTTGTTTAAATTATGTACATACAAAATACGAAAAATTGAAAATCACATTGGTATGGTGGGATTTGAACACAGGACCTGTAGACCCATAGATAACAAATCAAGTGCTTAAACTGAACCACCGACACTATCATTAAATAATGCCAATGAGAATACAGTCCATGCCAGATCAGCAACTGTCCAGTTGTGTTAGTGAAATATAAACCAGGCGTTTCTAAATTTAGTAGTAAGTCTAGCATAGATTTCTTTAGTCTAGCACTCCTAGCATTTATTTAAATTTAGAGCTGCAATTAATGAGTTGTTTTGAGCCAAGGAATTGTTATGAAACATGTATCTACTAGCTGTTTCTCGCGGCTTTATCTGCATGGAATCTAAAAAAAAATCACCTATATTACTCAGCAATGACATAGCTGTTTAATGCCAGAATTTTTTAAATCGGCTCAGTAGTGTTTGAGTTATTTCAATAAATATAAATAATCCAAATATTTCCTCTTTGTAATATTAGTAATTAAAATAGACAAGCCAGGCTTAGTGGCAGTCCACTGTTAATGCATGTTAATTAATTCACTTTTTGCTTTTCAACCTGCACAAAAGGAGTTAAAGGTAAACATGTCACTTAAATTTTGTTTATTTATCAATTTTTTGATGGTTTTATCATAATCCATCATCAGTCTTACATAATTCTTCCATGACACTTCGTTATATTTTGTACACTTCACAGATTATGTAGAATGTCTATATGTTTATAATATACGAGCTGTTGCCCGCGACTTCGTCCGCGTGGTATAAGAAAACATACAAACTATATAAATTACAAAAAGCTACGTATCCCTCGGGAACCGGACATTTCTCGGGGATGAATCTTATCCCATGTGTACTCCAGACTTTTATATCTGTGCCAAATTTCAATAAAATATGTTGAACCATTGCAGAATGATCGAGTAAACTTTAAAAAATTAATTAATAATTTCCCACAGGAACCGTAACTATTCCCGGAATAAAAAGCCTATGTGTTCTTCCAGAGTATGCTTTAAACCTGTGCCAAATTTCATAGAGATCCGTTCAGCCGTTTAGGCTACAAACGCTAACAAACATCCATCCACCCGTTATTAGTAATAATCCACAATATTAGTAAGATTAGTAAGTTGGTATATTATTTGTTGAACATGTTCCTTCAGTGTACTTAACATAACAATTTTTGTCCCAATATTATGCAAACAGGATGTTGATAAAATTTATTTTTCAGATTATATTTTTACTGTGCTTATCAATTATTTTATGTATTCAAAAACGTATGAGGAAGACACGGTTGTATTTTAAATGTAACAAGCCAATTATATATAGGGTCTTACAGAGTGTATAGTGTAATATTTTGATATCAAAAAGTCTATACTTTTATAAACAATCATGTTTACTTGGAAAGTATCTTATCAATCCAGTTTATTGATAAATCAAATGCTGTACAGTGATCGCTTTGTTTTCCTGATAGTGACTAAATTGTAGAAAGTTATCATTAGAGCAGGTGCACACCTTTGATAAAACTATCGCACAACTGTTGTGCGATTGTCGATTGTTTCGCAGCCAATTCAACTGTTTAGTTGTACAACTAAAAATCGAGTAGTGTGCGCACCTCCATATAGTACATAGGAATCACAGGACTAAACAGTTGTGCGATAGTTTAGTCAAATGCGCACACTCTAAAACTTATTGTTTGGTTCGGCTATTGGTTTTATTTTTAACGCAAAAGATTTCATTGAAACTCAATACCCATAACATTTTTAATGCTAATTTAAATATTCTGATATACTGATAATTCTAATTAAAATTACATAAAATCAAAATAAATTTACTCCGAAATATTGCGTTTAAACACACATATAATATGTAATACATTCATCATAAAACTTCATAAAAAAATAAAAAAAAAAAAAAAAAAAAAAAAACCTCTTTGACCTCTAATGTTCTATGAATAGCAAATATACCAGTCTGTCTCAAACACAGAACAATGTCTACACAGTATCAAATATCCAAAAATATTAATCCAAACAATGAACATCCAAAACATGTCAATTTGTACGAAGAGAGTGTAAGAGAACTTGAATTGCAGCGGAGGCAGGAGGAATTAGAACGGAAGGCGGAGGAACTTGCACGACGAGAGGCGGAACTCCGAGCTGGTTCCGCCGGTAGGAGGAACAATTGGCCACCCTTGCCTGCCTTCTGCCCCGTCCAGCCTTGCTTCTATCAAGACATCAATGTTGACATACCACTAGAGTTCCAGAGGATTGTCCGCCATTTGTACCATTTATGGATGTGTGAGTACCTATTTTTGTTTATGTAGATTAGGCAAATATAAATATTTTATTGGTAAAAGTATTTTACAGGTCATAATATTGAAAATTTTCAAATATCCAAAACGAAAAATTGTATACATTAAGCACTTATGGAAAAAATTCTTCGACAATTTAGAGGGCTTTCTGGATTAGCTAGGACTTAAGTTTATTTTTGAACGACGCGAGGCTGGTAGCCGCTGTGACTTAGTTACCCTACCTAGTTAATGTGTTACTTGAATGCAAAGGAACCAGCGAAAAACCAGTCTAGGAATGACTTAGTCCCTCCTGCATATGCCAAGCTGGTCACCTTTTGCCACAATATTATATTTTGTCCTTAATCTGTGTAATATTTTATTGTTAATATTTCTTGGTGGCAATACATATTCATAACTTCTATGTATTCTGTATTTGTGGCTGTGTGTTTCAGTTGAACTCTTCAGTTAGAGTTTAAACTACGCACGCATAGATGTAACTAAACAGTTACTTCGGTTAAAACTGCCAGAATTTAGCGTCTGTAGTTGGATTTATTAATTTTTTAAAATTGGCTTCTATATGCTGTTGCTTTTTCTCGGATTTGTTTTCAGTGTTATACTTATGTTTAGAGATTTCAAAGAGAATTGAAACATGCAGTTGTATAGACCACTTACAGTTGCATAATTGATATAAATTTCGATTATGTTCTTTATTTATTGATGAATCTAGAATCATGCATTCAGTGTGTAACAATTTCTTCTTTATTTCCAGTTCACGCGTTGGTACTAGCTATGAACATAATCGGAGCGATGTCCCTTATGATAGCCGCTAAAAACTTCACTATATTCGGTCTGTCCATTTTGTACTTCGTCCTGCTGACCCCCTTCAGCTTCATCTGCTGGTACCGGCCGATATACAAGGCGTTCAGAAGCGACTCCTCCTTCAACTTTATGGTCTTCTTCTTTATATTCCTGTTCCAAATTATTATAACCACGGTGCAGGCGATTGGAATCAACGGTGGAGGATCTTGGTAAGTTTTTTTAATACTATTTATAAATGCGAAAGTTTAGATGTACGAATGAATGGATGGATGAATGTAAGAGCATATATATATTCTTTTATGAGAGTTTATTTAAAAGAAATTAGCATCACTTGTGTTACTTGAAAATGCGATTTTGACAGATAGATATTTTTTTATATTATAAGGTGGCAAACGAGCAAGCGGCCACCTGAATTTGCCCATAGACATCCGCAATTGCAGATGTATTGCCTACCCTTAATTAACAGAAATAAGATATTTCCCCCTTCCTGTGCGTCTCCTCCGCTGTCAAATTCACTTTTCCTTTCTGTCTTTTCCTCTTAAGAATGAACAAAATATTTTTTTTACACAAAAAACACAATTTAAAAAATGTGTGGAAAGGAAAGGAAAGTGGAAATTAAAAGGGACTAAAATATTTGTAAGTAAAGAATTAATGTTAAAAATTTCTCCTTTTCTAATATTTCAGTGGGTTGATGACCAGTATATCTGCGTTCGAGGTGAACGCGGGCGTGGGCATCATCACCCTGCTGGTCACCATCGGCTTCATCACCTCGGTGGTTGCTGATGTCATGCTTATAGCAAAGGTAATTTTATTTCATACAAAAATCTTGTTGAATTCTAATCTTTACAAATATAATAAAGCGTAAACACACACTTCTTTGTTGCCGAAGATGTCAGTAATCACAGCATATTTTCGAATAACTCTTGTATTAATAAAAAGCCCAGTTAAAAGTTAATGTCGCGAAGTGAACTGACAAGCTATGTCACTATTACCCTGACATTAAATGTCACTTCTCATTGCTGGGTGGTTTTGATATCGTGTTTACAGTAAAAATACTTCAAGAGTGTATTTCTATACAAACTAATGTAAATGAACTGTGTGTGGTCAACACAGCGACGCCATATTAGATAAGCCACTTGCTTCGACCAATAGTGTGTGTTTTAGAACTTTCGAAGCAATTTTAACACTTTCTAATGATTAAATTTCGCCACTAAACCACATTATATAAAAAAAATTCTTTACAGGTATATTTTTATAGTCATAAAGTATACTTAAAAAAAGGTACAATTTGGCGTCATATGCATATTTCGAAATTTTCTGCATATGAAGTCGGATGGGAACAGCTAGTTATACAAACACTGTGTGGTGTCAGGTGCACCGCATCTACCGGTCGACGGG